GAAAGAGCCGTATGCAAAAACGACATTTTTCCCCCCCCCCCCAGTAAAACTTATTCAAACTTCGTCTATCAGTTACTAATACTGGAGCGCTTCTTTCCCCAAATTTTCAGACCCCCAAAAAATTTTGGGGGGGCGCTAGGGGAGGGGGGTGGAAGTCAAAACCTGTGAACCTCGATATCTTGCGAACGAAACAAGATATTGAGGCCCGGTTAGGACGAACAATCGTCTAAAATTGCATACTTTAAGATTCTAAAGGTCAAAATTCCAAAATTAAATTTTTAAATTAACTTATGTGCTTTTTTTCAGTTTTTGAGGAAAACAATTTCTTTTAAACAGATTAAACTGAAATTTCACATTTTTTGATTTGAACCAAAACCAGTTTTTTAAATTGCTCGTCTTTTTCTGCATCCAACGAGTGGTCGTATAAGCTGGGGAACCGAACGGTTCCGGAGTTATGATCGATTGAAGTTTCCGCTCAACGCGCGCCGACCGATTTTCGCGCGCAAAAGAGTCGGATTTGACTGTTATTAAATCAGATTGAATGTTCAAACTCAGCCAAATGCATTATTAGGGTCTCTTGAGGGTAGCTGAGTTCAGAAATTACAGATACTTCCAAAAAATTCACGTTTTTAAAATTACAGCTCCGTAGCGCTATTTTAGAGGCCCACTGAGTGCCGATCGGCCGCTCAGTGGTCCTGTACGGAGCTGTGGCAAGTTAGGAAAAAATTGGTCACTATGAAGAAAGCTCACCAGATTCGTCTTTCTCGTCTCCGAAAAACCTCCGATATGGTGTAATAGATAAATTCACCAGAAAAACGCTAAAGTGTCAATTACTTGTCATTTTTATCCGCCATTTTGTAAAGCTTTTACGAACTTAGAAGACAAGATCAGATTTGTAATTCCCATGCCCGAATACCCCTGAATACTAAATGTTATGCTAATCCATCGGTAAACGTCCTAAATGCCAATTTTCCGCCTTTTTGATAGCCCCCATTTTTAAAAAAAAGTAGCTTTTTTCAAAAATCTCACCAGACTTGTGTTTCTTGTTGTAAGAAATCTCTGGATACTTAGTTTCAGATAAATCCATCGACAATTAGCTTAAATGCCCATTTCCCACTATTTTCGGCCGCCATCTTGAAATGAAATTAAGATGAGGACGTGCGGAATGCGCGATTTTTTTTCTTTATTCTCTTTCGAAGGAGCAAACACAAGGAGGGGATTTCCATTTGAATAAAAAGAAGTTGTGCCCCCTTCCCCCCCAAATTCTGGATATGCCTAAAATTAGTTCTCTTTGACGCAGAATCTTTCCCCGAGTTGTGTCTTAATGGCTCTGCCAAGGAAAACTTNGGGGGGGGGGGGGGGGGCTGTTAAGTGCTTTTGGGACACCCTGTATGAATAACGCGGGCTCAGGACTGATTATTGAAAGGGTCTTGCTACTCTGCAAGTAATAAAATTAAGTGAAAGGCTGGTCCAAAGCTCTGAATAAGTCATAGGAATTCGAAAACGAAGAAATCATAGAAAACTCGCCTTAGATGTAGCATTGGTGATGCATCAGGCCTAAACTGAGCTCATTGTCATGTCAGCATGAGAGTTAGCTTTAAAAGGTCTCAATATATCTGAAGATCACTCGCGATTGTTTTTGATAGAAGTGTCGAGGAAAGTCTCAAGATTGAAAAATTGAAAACCGCGAAATCGTAAGTTTGGCCGCTTCTTTTATTTTCGACTTTTTCTATTCTTAAAGGGTAAAATAGGGTAAAAAATGTGTAAAACCACCAAACCCCTTCGCCCTCTGGTCCAATTAAGTTATATTTTGATGTATGTAGGACTTATTGAATATGAATAATTCAGGAGGCCAACATAAGCGCTCTACAGGGTTATCCAAAAGTCACCTACCACCCTTGTAATTTTTTTCCTAATTGAGATAGAAGTTTGAAACTTTGGGAATGTTCCTCGGTTTAAGGTAGCAACTTTTTGGTCCCTCCCCAAAATTTTGGGGGCGGGGGCTAACTTTTTTTTTCAAATGGCAACCCCCCTTTTGTGATACCTCATTTGATAGATAATAAAAAAAGATAATTTTTGGCGCAAATCGCAGGTCAAAATGTTGATTTTTGACAAAATGGCGGCCGGTCAAAGTTCGAAATGGCGGAATTTTGGCATCTCCGTTTTTTATCGGCGGATTGGTCTGAAACTCAGTATCCTCGGGTTTTTCGGGACGAGAAAAACGATTCTGATTTAGTTTTCCAGGAATGTCAGTCCTTTTCATAATGGCGGCGGTTAAAACGGCGGAGTAGAGCGGGAAGTGGATATTTAGGCTGCTTATCGTCGGATTTGTATGAGACTTGGTATCCGGGAATATTTCGGCACGAGAAGAACGAATCTTTCATTGAATTTTTGAAATTTTTAAAAACTTTAAAATGGCGGCGAGAAAAATGACGGAAAATCCACATCAAGGCTGTTTACCGATGAATTTGCACAAAAGTGAATACTCTGGTGGTTTTTGGCTTGAAAAAATTTATCTTTTATTAGATTTTTGAAACACTGAATATCGTCAAAATTGTGGCGGAAAATAACGGAAAATCCGCATCCATCATCGCCATTCACATTTTTGCCGCCATTTTACAGTTTTTAAAAATTTCAAAAATCCAATGAAAGATTCGTTCTTCTCGTGCCGAAATACCCCAGGATACCAAGTCTTATACGAATCCAACAAAAGCAGCCTAAATTAACACTTCCCGCTCAAAGCCATCATTTTAACCGCCGCCATTTTGAAAAGGACTGACTGGTTTCTGGAAGAATCGTTTATTTTCGTCCCGAAAAACCCGAGGATACTGAGTTTCAGACCAATCCGCCAATAAAAAACGGAGATGCCAAAATTCCGCCATTTTGAACTTTGACCGGCCGCCTTTTTTTCAAAAATGAACATTTTGACCTGCGGTTTGCGCCAAAAATTTTCATTTTTTATTATCTATTGACTGAGGTATCACAAAAGGGGGGTTGCCATTTGAAAAAAAAAGTTAGCCCCCGTCCCCCTTCGGGGGAGGCCGCCCCCCAAAATTTTGAGGGGACCAAAAAGTTGCTACCTTAAACCGAGGAACATTCTAAAAGTTCAAACTTCTATCTCAATTAGGAAAAAAGTTACAGGGGTGGTAGGTAACTTTTGGATAACCCTGTATATTCTGTTGGAATGCCACCGAACTGAATGTACATTTGAGACACAGAATTAAACCAGAAAAAAGTTCAGTGTCATCATTTGAATAATCTTAAATGATGGTTTTTTTATTCTTCTTCCTCAAATATAATAGTATGAAAACCGTTTAGCTAACATACTACAAAAACTTGTTAAAACATCAATGGCTGAAGTACAAATACACATCTGTCCAGTACGGTGTTTCAAAATTTTTGCTCCTGTTTCATTTTTCCAGGAGAAGGAGCCAACTTTATAGTTGGAATTTATGCAGAATATTCTGCCAACAGAGGAGAAAAATCCAGAATGTTTTCAGGAAATGGCATTCAGCTCTTTTCCTAGAACTCAAGAATGTATGAAAGAAAGTCTGCAACGGCTTAATAGGAGGCATGTAGTTTCGCACTTAGACCATCTATATGTGTGTAATGATGCCCAGTGAGGAAAAAATGTCGGCAATTATGATTCTATGTTCTAATAATGTGGTATTTCCGAAGTGGATGTGCGACTCATTTTATCTCAATTCATTTTTCTCACTCAAAATTATTGAAAATGATCTGATACTGAAAAGCGAATTTCGTGTAAATTTTTGTAAAGAAATTCGTAATTTCATAGTCTTCTTGGTGCCTTCCATTTGTCTAATCATTTTCCCAACCATACGGAATGGTTATCTTCACTCCATGTTCACATTACATGATGATTGATGAATTTTTAACCAGCTTTGGTGATATGTCTGACCTAAGTTAATACCTTTTTAAATTTGGTGTGCATGTGCTGATCTAACTCAATTCTCTGTTGGGGTCAGGTTCCTTCTATTTCTTCCCAATCACAATCAAAAAGTCTGGTCGAAGAAATCGTTAAAGCACGGGAGCACATTAAAGTTTCTCTTAAAAATGTGAGTAGAATGCTTCTGACGTTTGCTTTAACTTTGAACTAATCCCTATGTACTTGCTATACTTTTGTACTCTGTTATCATCGTATTGCTCAGTCTCAATCGCCTAAGCTGATTTTCTTTTCAGTCGAAAGCATCCACAAAATCTGTACCATTTGAAGGTAAAATTATCTGCCCTTTTCCTTGAAATATAATAACTGTATTTTCTTGCCGCCATCAGTCGCTCTTTCCTTCTTTGATGTAATGAAATCATATAGAATTTATGAACACCTTCAAAGAACATTTCTCATGTTAGATCCAAATCTCAAAAGATTGTTCAAAGTAACACCTTGTATCGTCAAGGACACCGCACGCATTATTAGTAGAGTACAGTGGAGTCGCTATGTACTGGAGTGCCCATGAAATCACTTTTCGAGGCTGTTTTTTCCGGTATTTTTGAGACTTGTGTTGTATGCGCGGAGTCCCAGCCCTGGGTTTCCCTCAGAATGTTTAGGTGTAAAATGTATTTCTTTGAAACCGGGAGCTCTGCACGTTATTTAATCCGTTATGTCTTTAGTCAACATTATTTCCTAAAATTTGCGAAAATAATTATTGATTAAAATTAATAACTCCTGGAAACGACTCGGAGCCCGTGATTCTTCCACAAGTGTTGTGTTAAAATGTGCCGCATGGTTCCCACTTTCGGCGAGCAGGAGGTTAGGAATGTATCTTTCAAGGATTGACGTCAGTGGCGCTCTAGTACATAGCGACACTATTGTACATACGGTATGACAGTATCAACAAATTCGGCGACGCACACTGTGGTATTCAACTTCAAATGCTAGCCAAAACTATTTATCAACTAAAATCGCCGAGTGTGACGAAGATTTTACAACGAGTGATTCTTCTAGGTGATAATGTGTAAAATTTAACCACAAAACACATTTTTTGACGATTTGATGAGAGTTTAAAAAGGATATAAGGTTCCCGAAAAAAAAATCTAATGATCCGCATGGACTCGGAGCTGTCTGTCAGCTCAAATATAGCTTTAAATTTACTCAACCAACGTTATTTTATAAGCTAAAAGAAGTGAAATTACATTTATGGTGATCCAAGGGAGGCCACTTGGGACAATATGTAGGCCTAATAGCTCGAGAAAGCCACTTACGAGTCCTGATGACTGGCCATATGACGTTCAACTTGTCTGCCAGGGTAAAATTTTTTAAATGTATCTACATTATTAAATATTACAAGCTGAGGCAATAAAATAAGAGTATACTTTTGCATGGCTCCAAATATGCCTCTCAGTGTAATTTTATGGTGCCAGAGAGCCACTTTGAAGCTCCACCCTACGGCCGCATGCTCTAGTTTGTCTGTTACCGGGAAACTTTCCATGCATATGTCTATACTCATGGAATGAGTGCAAAGAAATTGCTTGGTGACGGATTGTTGACACACTTTTCCATGGACCTAAAGTGGCCCATCCTTAGTCTTTCAAATAAATTATTTTATCCTCGTTAGGTGGCATAGTTGCTAGCGGAACAGATGGCGTGATCAATTATCGCCCAATCTGTTACTAAATGGGTCGGAACTGTGGGGAAACTCCATTAGTTGTCAGCATCAGCATAATCTACATCATTCATTCTCGTAAAAATCCCTCAAAAAGTCTATATTTAAGGTTAACAAATCTCAACTTTTAAACTTTTCTGATATGTGTCAACTTCGGAACCCTTGAGTTTCCTCTTTGGATTCTGACAGCTCGCTTTTAGTTAGTTGGTTGGTTGAGTAAGGCTTTTCCGTAAGATATTTAGCTCAACACTGAAGAATCTCGCTGAGTGGAAGAAAACTGATTGCTTTTTACAGCATGTGGTCTGAGCTTCAGAACAAGCCCATCTTTAGGAAACAGCATGACGCGGAGCTATGATTTTTTAATGAGTTGGTGAGTCTCACCTGAAGCTCGTCATTTAGCTGAAACATATCTCGATTTTGTGTTGCTTTTGGATTAATTTCTGTGGAATGACTTCAAGAAGTATGAAAATGCAAAACTTGCAGGCTCTGGTTGGATTGTGGGGTCGGGCGGTCTTTGGACTCAAAACATGCTAAGTTCTAGCACGTTGTGTTAACTTTGAAAAATCATTACTCTGCACGAAATCATTATCCTAAGATGAAGTTCGTTTTTTTTTACAGCTTTAACGCTATACTTTCTTAAGCATTCAGTTTTTTATTTTTCTCCTTTTTATACGTGCCAGAACCCAAAATCAAAAAAATTGAAATTTAAACTTTGTCAATGAGGCAACAGTATTGGTCTACGAGGTCTGTCCGGAAAGTAACCTATCTTGTTGATTATCTCACCATCAACGCTTGATAAGAGGTTGGGGCTTGACAGTATCTTTGCAGGGACTCTCCTGAGTGCAGGTGCATAGCCGGATTGTCACATGTTAAATTAATCATTGGTAATTTGCTGATTAGTACATGCTATTCTGCTCTGATCATCGGATTTCGTTTTTCCTAAAAAGAAGAAGTTAAGGAGAGTGGGGTTGGAAGAGTTTGTGAAATGATCATCACATCGGATGGGTCTTGGGTCTACGGGTACGACCCTGAGACAAAAACGCGATCGTCTACAGGAGAGGTCTCCTAGATACGATCCAAACCGACGATCGCATTTTTGCCTCAGGGTCGTACCCTTAGACCCAAGACGCATCCGATGTGATTATCTTTTCACAAACTCTTCCAACCCCACTCTCCTTAACTACTTCTTTTTAGGAAATCCGATGATCAGAGCAGAATAGCACGCACTAATCAGCTAATTACCAACGACTAATTCAACATGTGACAATCCGGCTAAGCACCTGCTCTTAGGAGAGTCCCTGCCAAGACACTGTCAAGCCCCAACCTCTTATCAAGCGTTGATAGTGAGATAATCTACAAGGTCGGATACTTTCCGGACAGTCCTCGTAAGTCTCAAGATGAACCAATTTCATTATTATCAACGAGTAATGGTTGGTTAGCGGACATTCTCCTCCAATTGCTTAGGCAAAGGTAATAACTCACCTACATACCGTTAACACGCTTTGTCAGTTGAAAGTTTAAACTTTGACCTCCTCTCCTGCCCCCTCCTAATCTTCCGATTTTATGTAATGAATGTTTTGGACTCTGGAAAGGCTCCTCTTTCAAACTTAAAAATGAATCACATTTTACAATAAGAGACCACTATTTCTGGCCCATTTTAGAAACAGCATATATGCCATTGGTTCCCTGAAGATAGGTGCTTTTATGGAATATCCAGAGATAGTGGTTCCTTATTGCAAAATACCATCCAAATATTTTTATGATCAGGTTGAGGTTGGAAATAATTGATTTCAGGCAAGGCTCCTCACTCTTTAAAAATCCTTATGACCACTTTTCTTGTTTTGTATGAATAATACAATTAGTCCTTGCGTTGCAATTTGTGCTATTTCATTTCATTTTTCCTTAATCCCATCATTTTGCAGGTAGATGGATTCCAAGATCTTCCCTCCACCAGCATTAGCAATGATATGAGTGAAGTTGTCAGAAAACTGCAGACAGATTACAACAGCTTGAAGTCAGGTAAAAGTTCCTCCTCTTCTTCTTCTTCTTCTTTTTTTATAGATCGTAGAGTTTTGATGCCCGTTCAAGAGCAATTTGAACTTTTTATGAACCCTTTTTTACATGCTAAAATTAAATGCGTCCTTCCCTTTGAGAGTTACGAATGTACTTTTGGCTTCAAGTCTCAAGTCCTAACATTCTGAAGCCAATGTAGTCACCTGCCTGGAATCACGGTGTAACAGAACTTAGATGACTTTTCAAAAGCAAAAATAATATTCTTGGAAACCTCTTTTCTTCGCTGGCTGGTCCCTAATTGACGTATCCATTTGTACCTTTAGCATATGGAATCGAGAAAATATCAAAATTTTAAGTGCCTTTTTGAACTCGTTAAAGAATCCCTCAAACCACTGATATCATTGAACAATTAGTTAAGGGCACTGACATGACTCTTTGTGCTGCTTTGAATTGGACCACTGCGCTGCTCTGAAGGGTCCTCCCTACGGAGATTGTACCTTGTTTCGCTTTCTTCCCCTCCCCCCCCCCTCTCTTATTCCTTAGTTGCTCGTTGATTTTGGTTTTTTGACATATGCCTTTCCCCTTATTATCTTTACTTTACAATTGTTCTTGATTAATGATACTGCGTATCCATTAAAGGAGGAGTATCGTTTTGGGCCTTTTCCGACCCCACCTGGATTTTGCTGAATGTTTCATATTTTCAAAGTACTAGTCCTAGGTAGACTCCGTGCCAAATATTTTACCAAACGGAGCCCATGCAAAGAAACTGCAACGCCTCAAACCCAAAATCCTGGCATCGAATGATAGTTATTTTCGTGGACTTTTTTGACTGTTATCACTCTTGCAGCAGATGATTCCAATGTATTTTTTTTTGCATACTCTCCATTTCTGGCCTTTTCAAAGGTCTTCAATGAATTTGAAGGGGCCTTACGGTACAATGTTGCAATTTTTGCCTAATTTTTATGGGTTTTTTCAATTTCACAAATGCAGAACTCAATTTAAACTCAGAACTGTGTGCTTCTTTTAAAAGAACGCAAAAAAATGAATAAGAACTGTTCAGTGAAACTTTTTCTTTGTTGCCAAATTTTCGAGAAAAATCGTTCCAAAGACAATTAAATGAAAATGGCCAAAATTTGATAAATTGCCACGCCTAAGGTTCAAGAAAGTGGGGTACAACTTTTATATTGACGTACGTAACAGCTCTTAACCATATATGTTTATCATTGTAGAAATAAGTAATTATCCAGTCGTTACTTATATATACCACTATGTGCATACATTAAGATAATCGTATATATTTCCTCCCAGGAAGGTTAAAATAAACTCTTCAAAAAAAAAAGAAAAAAAAAGAAAGAAAGAAAAAAAAAACATTTGTACAACATATGAAAAAAGAATAGTTGTACCTGGATTCCCACCATGTGTAAATTGATCGGGATGTCGTGTTAAACGACCTTTTTTAACGTGAAGGTAGCTCTTTTGAATGTTTTTCGATCTATGTCACTCTCCATGGGTGTGTCTGTGTACTATATCGACGGTGTAAGTCGGCAATCGCATAACTCGGTTTCCGATGTCGCAGACTTCCTGTCATATTTTATTTTTTGAAACCTACTCAACGGCAATTCTTTAAAACTGCCGTGATTTTTCTTCTCCGTGCGAAGAAAATTCTACATAAACTTCAAGGAATGATGTCAATTTGTTCTCCTTTAAAAAAAATAACATAGAGGCGGAAATTTTCAGACACTGCAAACGAGTTATATGATTGCCGACTTACTCCATCAATGGGTATTTCTCTACGTAACTTTCATCTCTGTCCATGAAAATGGCTTCCCATGAATTTTGAAATGCCTCACGGTCAATTGTTGCCAATTTATACCAACCCTAGGGGTTTTTTCAAGTTTACTTGTGAGAAACTTAATTTAATTTAAAAACTGTTTACATTTTCGGAAAGAACGTAGGAGAAAACATATGTAATGTGTTTCGTAACTTTTCCCTATGTTGCTGGATTTTCGACCAAAATCTTCCTGAAGTCCCAAAAATGCCATAAATTGGATTTATCATCTTGCTGAAGATTTTAGGAGGTGAATTTTAAGTTATCTTTCACTACAAATAACGTATCAAAAATGGAAAACTGCAATGCGTCTCACCGAACATGTAATGGCTCAGATGAACGTGATGCAACTGACCCTCAAGGTGCTTCCACTTTATCCTTCACCCCATTTCACCACTTAATTTGTGTAACTTCGAGACAGTCCTTCGTTCTCAAGATGCCTGATACAGGCCATATACCAAACAACAGAAACTGCGTGGAGAAAGTGTCCCACAATCCACATGAAAGTAATAATTCACTTCCTAGAACCTTCGACGTGATGATTAATTCAATTTTTGGCATTTTTGGCACTTCAGGACGATGTTTCTCGGAAATCTGGCAACATAGGAAAATGTTACAAAGCACATTATGTATGTATTTGTTTACGTTCTTTCCGAAAATGTACACGGTTTTTGATTAAATTAAGTTTTACACATGTAACCTTAAAAAAACCCTAAAAAGTGGTCAAATTTGGCAACAATGGACCGTTGGGCCTTTTAAAATTCGTAGGTAGCCATATTTATGGGTAGAAATGAAAATTACATACAGGAATACATATAGCACACACCCATGGAGGGTGACTTAGGTTGAAAAACATTCAAAACAGCTACCTTCACGGGAAAAAAGGCCACTAAACTCCTGCCATCCTGGTCAATTTTCACATTGTGAGAATCCAGGTACAACTGTGCTTTTATGATGTGTTTTATATTTGGTTAGAAACTGTTACGTACATCAATTTAAAAGTTGTACCCCACTTTCTTGAACCCTAGGCGTGGCAATTTATCAAATGTTGGCCATTATCATTTAATCGTCTTTGGAACGATTTTTCTCGAAAATTTGGCAACTTGAAAAAGTTTCATCGAAAATTTTTTATTCATTTTTTTGCGTTCTTTTCAAGAACATACATGGTTCTTAGTTTAAATTGAGTTCTGCGATTGTTAAATTGATAAAACCCATAAAAATGGGCCAAAAATTGCAACAATGTACCGTAAGGCCTCTTCAAATTTATTGGCGACCTTTAAAAAGGCCAGAAATGGAGAGAACGCAAAAAAGTACATTGGAATCATCTGCTGCAAGAGTGATAGCAGTCAAAAAATCCCACGAAAATAACTTTTTTTCGATGCCAGGATTTTGGGTCTGAGGCATTGCTGCACCTTTGCATGGGCTCCGTTTGGTAAAATATTTGGCATGGAGTCTACCTAGGACTAGTACATTGAAAATGTGAAACATTTAGCAAACTCCAGGTGGGGCCGGAAAAGGCCCAAAACGACACTCCTTCTTTGAGGAGCATAACATCGTTTTTGCTTAGTCAACTGAGGTTAAGGAAGTGTGAAAATTACATTGAAGAATCAATATTTACTCTTGAATGGTCGAAAGGCCTCCTTGCCCCGTGAATATAACTTTAAAATGATGCTGAAGTCAAAAGAAATGTGAATGCCTATTTCTAGGCTTCCGAGATAATTTGACGAGTGTGATTCTTCTTCAGTTCAAAACTGTTCAAGTTAATGACAGTGGCTTGTTACTAAAATCCGGCCAAAGTCTTAAACTTAGTGAGCCAAATTGTCTTGTTAGATACTTCTAAAAGGAAATGAATAAAAATCATACTTCACTGTAAATCGAATGTAGGCCCCTTCATTTATGAGTGATGCAACAGTCATGATGTGTAAGTATGTTTAGCCCTTGCAGGAGCGGTCCCGTTCCTGAATCCTTACCTATTTGCGTTTTTATTGAAAGTAAAAAAAAAATAGTCGGCATGGATTGAATTAAGCCTTCTATGTGCTCCAAAACAATATGAAATATTTTATCGCACAAAGTCCAATATTTTTCGATTCAGGTCCTACAAATGCCTTTAAAAGAGCATGAAAAAAAAATACTCAATCGGCTGGCGAAAGTCCAGTATTTTTCTTGAGAATAGTCTCCTCCTTCAATGAGTGATGCAACAATTGCGACATTTTTGTATGAAAAGCCCTTGCAGAAGCCTTTTTATTTGACTCAGCTAAATTTTGAAGAATCACTGACGTGTCCGCAAAAATGCTCTTACGGTAATCATTAGTATTTGTCCCCTCTGCATGCTGGAAGATTGCTTGCAGCGTATTTTTCGAGCGTATCATTCTTTCTTTGCTCTCTCCCAAAACTTATTTATTGTATAATATTTTTAATCTCAACTTATGATGCTGCAGTTGAATATGCATGTAAATGGAAGCTATCATAACATTGTGTCATATACCACTGTATAATGAACTGATCGTCATGAAAAGGACTCCAGATTACCTAGATATTGAAAATTGTTTTAAGAGAAAATGAATGAAGATTTAAAAAAAACAAAAATCATGGTTGAAAATAGCGTTTTTATTTTTTACGCAGAGTAGAATAGGTAAGAGGGTTTTGACATGGATCCTCAGATATCTCTATGAAGCATTAATTTTAGTGACCTATCTTTTTTACGCATTTTTGCGGACACGTCAGTGATTCTTCAAAATTTAGCTGAGTCAAATAAAAAGGCTTCTGCAAGGGCTTTTCATACAAAAATGTCGCAATTGTTGCATCACTCATTGAAGGAGGAGACTATTCTCAAGAATAATACTGGACTTTCGCCAGCCGATTGAGTATTTTTTTTCATGCTCTTTTAAAAGCATTTGTAGGACCTGAATCGAAAAATATTGGACTTTGTGCGATAAAATATTTCATATTGTTTTGGAGTACATAGAAGGCTTAATTCAATCCATGCCGACTATTTTTTTTTACTTTCGATAAAAACGCAAATAGGTAAGGATTCAGGAAACGGGACCGCTCCTGCAAGGGCTAAACATACTTACATGTCATGACTGTTGCATCACTCATAAATGAAAGGGCCTACATTCGATTTACAGTGAAGTATGATTTTTATTCATTTCCTTTTAGAAGTATCTAACAAGACAAT